AGTGCCAAAAAAAGATCCAATGTTTAAGATAGGTAAAACCAAATCGGAATTATAAATAATATCAAAAAAAAAAAGCCAAGACCAGAATTATAAGCAATACCAAAGAAAAGATCTAATGTTTAAGATAGATAAAACCAGACCAGTGTAATAAGCAACATTAAAAAAAAGAGCCAAAACCAGAATTATAAGCAGTGTCAAAGAAAAGATCTAATACTTAAGATAGATAAAACCAGACCAGAGTTATAAGTAGCGCTAAAAAAAAAACTAATACAAAAACAAGACCAGAGTTCTAAGCAGTAACAAAGAAAAGAACTAATGTTTAAGGTAGATAAGAACAAGACCAGAGCTATAAACATACTAAAGAAAAAGCCAACGCTTAAGGAAGGTAAAACAAAACAGAATTATAAGTAGTACCAAAAAAATCTAATGTTTAAGATAAAAACAATATCAGAAAAAAGAGCTAACATTTAAGAAAGGTAAAAACAAGATCAAAGTTATAAATACACCAAAAAGATCAAATGCTCATGAAAGATAAAAACTCACAATTATAAACAACCCCCCAAAAAAATCTAATATTTAAAAGAGGTAAGAACAAAATCACAACTATAAGCAACTTTAAAAAAAAATTCAATACTTAAAAGAGGTAAGAACAAGATCGCAGCTATAAGCAATACCAAAAAAAAGAATCAACATTTAAGAGAATTAAGAACAAGATCAAAGTTATAAACAATACCAAAAAAATCTAATATTCAAGAGAGATAAAAACAAGATTAAAATTACTAACAATATCAAAAAAAAATCTAATGCTTAAGAAAGATAAGAACAAGATTACAGCACAAAAAAAAATCTAATGCTTAAGCAAAGTAAGAATAAGATTATAGTTACAAACAGTATTAAAAAAAACTCTAATACTTAAGGAAGATAAGAACAAGATCACAGTATCAAAAAAAAAATCTAATGCTTAAGAGAGGTAAAAACAATATCAAAGTTATAAATAGCACCAAAAAAAATCTAATATTTAAAAAAGATAAAAACAAGATTACAGTTACAAGCAATACCAAAAAACAAAATCTAATGCTCAAGAGAGGTAAGAACAAGATCACAATACCAAAAAAAAATCTAATACTTAAGAAAGATAAAAACAAAATCATAGTTATAAGCAGTGCCAAAAAAAAAATTTAATGCTTAAGAAAGATAAAAACAAGATCACAATGCCAAAAAAAATTCAATACTCAAGAAAGGTAAAAACAAGATCAAAGTTGCAAGAAACATCAAAAAAAATTTTAATATTTAAAAGAGATAAAAACAAAATCACAATTACAAGCAACAGCAAAAAAAAAATTCAACACTCAAGTGAGATAAGAACAAGATCACAGCGCCAAAAAAAAAAATCTAATACTCAAGAGAGGTAAGAACAAGATCAGTTATAAGCAATATCAAAAAAAAAAATTTAATGTTTAAGAGAGGTAAAAACAAGATTATAGTTATAAAAAGTATCAAAGAAAAAACCAATACTTAAAAAAAGAAGAACTATAAACAACACCAAAAAAAAATGCAAATGCTTAAAAAAGGTAAGACCAAAATTATAAACAACACCAAAAAAAAGAACCAACACTTAAAAAAAATAAGAACAAAAAATTATATTACCATATAATGTTGAAATTCAAAAAATTAGTTAGCACCACTAATGCTGAATGCAATGTAAAACCAATGTTGAATGCAAAAATCAATATTGAATACAAAAATCAATATCAAATATAAGGTTATTAATGAAGTAACATATTCTGAAACAATCTCAAAATAAACCCAACTCAAGTTGGAGTAGGTTAAAAATATGCTGGAGTGAAACTGGAGTAAACTAGAGTAACTATAAGCAAATCTGGAGTGGCTCCAGAGTGAGTCCAACCCAAGTTGAAGTGGAATGAGGAATAGTTCAACCCAACCTACCTCAACCCAACCCATTAACAACCCTAGTCAAATGTGAAAACCAATTTTAAATACAAAAGCCAATGTCAAATGTGAAAGCCAATGTCAAATACAAAAACCAATATCAAATGCGAAAGCCAATGTCAAATGCGAAAGCCAATGTCAAATACAAAAGCCAATATCAAATGTGAAAGCCAATATCGAATTAGAAAGTCAACGTCGAATGTGAAAGCCAACATGAGGCATAAAGCCAACTTCCAAGCAATAAAAAAAAAAAGACAAAAATAAAGCAAAGGGCTTTTTTATACCCTTACTCATAATTACGTTATAATTATGCTATTTCGTTATTACATAATAAGGTTAATTTGAAGCAATCAAAACTATAAAAAAATAGAAAATTCTATTTTATATCGTAAATGTGTACAAGGTTGGCGGCGAAGACTAAATTCTTAAAATTCGTTAAGGTTAGGGTTAGGGTCAAAGTTAGGATCTAGAAAGGGATAAATTATATTGTAAAATTGTTCAACGAAAACATTTTGTTAGAGCACAAAAGGTGGCTTATTATGCTGATTTTTGAGCTATGAGCAATTTTTGGCAGAACGAACGTTTGTTTTGAATCTTCCTGATCGTGTTACGTTACACCTAATCTTGAAATCTGATTCGTATTTCAGGAGATCTGCGCCACCAACCTTGTACACATTTACGATATGCTAATTTGAAGAAACTTTTTTTTTTTTTTACAGATTTTTGAAGATCATATTGCGTCGGATCTAATCCGACGCGCGTCAGGTGACCGATCGACAGGCGACGTGCGTCACCTGAAAATCGGCATCTGACGCGCGTCGGATTAGATCCGACGTCTGAGGCACAACATATATACCCAAAAATAAATATCTTTAAAAATAAATTATACAAAATTTTTGTACCAAGTAAATATATTTTTAACTTCCAAGTTATTCTATAGATATAGATGATTCTAATGATCAAAATCGCCCAGCAAATCACTCGCAATTGCACTTCGAAGTTTCGATAACGTTTGTTTACATAATCATATGTATAAACAAAAGGTAAACAAATTTCGAAAACGCTCTATTGGGCCGATTTTGATGGTTAGGATCGTCTCTATATAGAAAACAATTTTACTTAAAAGTCAAAAATAGATTTACTTAGTACAAAAACAAGCATCTCTATAACAAGAGGGGGTGCTTATTTTCGGAGGAATATGACATTAAAATTCATCTATTATTTTTTTTATGAAATATCAGCCTGTTTGTTTTCTATTGACGACAATCATATATTCTTGTGAGAACACCGGCTATTTCTTCATTTGATTAGAAATACAGTCCAACTAAAGGTTTGTTATATCGAGTCTTTTTGGATTTATAAAACTTGATATGCATTTAATAATAAGCTTATTTATTTGAAAACAAAGTAGAAAAAAAGCAATAAAAACTAAAAACCTTAAATTATGTCATCTTCTTAGCTAACCATTCTTGCCATTGCACAAGAGTCGAGCTAGAACTAATACTATCATCAATAAGCCCATCAAATAAAACAGTCGGGCTGACATGAATACCGTTTTGACGACCTAGCTTGATGTGCCATTTAAGGTCAGCACTTATTTGGTTTCCACTGTTTTTAGCCTCAGAGGCATTGGAAACCGTCGGGATGTCGATCAATGATATAAATTGATCAGAAGATATTCCAAACAAGTTTGTATGTCTTGCCAGGGAGTTATTGATCTGTGAGCGAGTGAGAGCCTGAACAGATTCGTCAAAATACCTGTTGTAGCATATATAAACTATAAGATTTGTGATTTCCCAGTCATCAAAGTAAGTAGTTATTCATACTCTTTCTGAACTTCAAACAATTTAGCTGAAAAATCCAAGAATTGGCTTTTATCAATCCTTTCTACGGCTAAGGCAGCCTTCGTTAAAATATTTAAGTTAATAAATATCTTTCAGGAGTTATCGATAACTTTGAGTTCCTCACTCTCGTAATTCTCTTAAATAACAAGAAAACATACCTCGTGAACAATACTCGAGCATGGATGCCACGGTTGCACCTGTTGACGGAACAAAAATTGGATTTGTCCAGGATATTTTTCTTCGATAAAAGGGAACACCTCCTGTAGTATTAAAGCGTAAATTCTTAAGCCAACGGTCGATCTAATTTTCGTGGCAAATCACGTAGTTATCAAAAGCTCCATACATACGTTTCGAAGTCTCAAGAACAATTTAGCCGAAAATGGGCACTAAATAAAATTAAATGGAATTAACGCGTTGGATGTATTAAAAAAAAGTGTATATAAAAAAACAAACCACATAGTCTAAGTAAGCTTCCAAAACGTGAGGTGCGGTGCTTACGCCCCAACGGTGGCCTTTGGAGAAATTTTCAGAAAAATATAATTAAAGTGGTCTCAAAACTTTTTTCAAAGCGCACTTACCTGCAAATTTAGGTGCGAGAGCCATCGTAAATGAATAGAAAAATTCTAGTCTGATTATTAATTGAATTTATTTATTTTATGCTGTAATGATACAAACTCAAAAAGGAACATGGGTGACACCAGTTATGATCGGAATCTGGATTTCCATTGGCGTCACCCATCTAATCTAACAGAAAATGAGATGCCGTGAACGAAGTCACAGGCATTCATTTGTCACGAGATCAGCCATATCCATGACATAACTGACAGAAATTGTGATGTAAGGAATTAGCCAGGGCAGCCCCCCAAAAGTGCCAGTTACGTATCACTTCAACAATCGAGTAATACTATATATATTAAATCATCGCTTATTGTTAAATAT